ATATATATACATTTATATATATGTATGTTTATATTTAATGTACTATATATTAGCAATGTACTACACATATTGTCGCCAATTATGATATTTTTTTATTCCTCTATAATTATATCATGTTTAGTTAATTATATGTATACAGAACTTCGTTAAACTGAACGCAAAAACTTCTTACATCAAATTGCTTGGCGAGATCTTACTGAATTAAGTAAATATAAAAGTTTTGATGGGTTTCGTAATAAGAATTATTTTTATTACGATTTTTTCGTAATAAGACTATTTTTATTACGAAACCCGTCAAAACATTTGCACGTGCTAGCTTTAATTATTTTAGTTACAAATACGAAGTTTTAAAGACGCAAACTATATCAAAGTTTTCGCAAAGCTTCTTATAATGGCGTGAAAGTTAGAAAGAAAATGTTAGAAAAAAGTTAGAAAAAAAGATATGTTAAAGTTAGAAAAATTTAGCTGGACTAAATTTCTTGTGGAAAAAAAAATATCATTTTATTTTAAGTAATGACCGACGCAACTTCTGCGAGGTAATTTAACACTATATTATTTATATACATATGTACAAAGTGATTAATATATTATATATATATATACATATACATATATCACAAATGATAATATTTGCACGAAGCTTAAATCTTAAGGCCGAATCAGCACTAGTTCATCACGATTAATGAGTATATTGTTTAATGACTTAATCAACTTAATAAAAGATATAATCAACTTTTTTAAGGAAAGAGTAAAAAACGAAAGAGACGGAAGAAATTAAAACTGTAGTGTACACATTTCCATGGTTATTGGAAATGTTAATTAATTGTCATTGAAAAAAGATAAATGTAACTGTTACGATATATTTACATTTCTCTCTGTAAATTTATTTGCTTATTTTACAGTGTGTTCGACCATATGTGTAACCGTATATATAAAATAACTACACTTTTAGATGAATTCCGAACCACATAGAGAGAAATTGTGTATAATACATACCTATAAAAAATTTTACCGGTTCTTATATAAGATACAGACTCATGTTGTGCATTTTAGAAAATAAGGAAACACATAGTGATATATGATTACTATACGTAGTTAGAATTTTGATCTCGTATACAAAGTTATGTATAATATAGCAGAGTCGATTAATCGATAATTGTAAAATTGGATTGTGTACAGTCGAACTTATAGGCTGCTACTTGCAGCTTGTTACTATACCGTGTACATATAAAGTGATTGTTACTAAAGATATTATAATTATAAGAAACATATATACATCAATATATATGTGTGTATATATATATATATACACATATATACATATATGTATGTATATTAGAGTGTATACTAGAGTGGCTCATATTTACTTCTGATGAAAATTTTTTTTTTAATGTTTTTTGCGGCACCCTTCAGAATAATTCCAATTATTAAAAAACTAATTTGTGAAAAAGTTCATTCCGATTGGATAAGGGGAAGGAGTTCCCGGATCCTTAAAAGAATTATTTAAATACATATTGAATCGATTGTATTTAATTATCCTCTCTAAAAAAAAACTACTTTTTTATTCGACCGAGCTGAACATTTTCACAGATTATTCTTTTGGTAGTTGAAACTATACTAAAGAGTGCCGCAAAACAAATTCAAAAGTCAAAGATAAGAGCCACTTCTACATATAAAATATAAATCGTTCATATAAATCGAGTACGAAATAAAAATTTCTCATGTGACATTTATAGAGTTTGTGTTTACCGTGTAGAATATTTCGATAATTCTGTTTTGTATATAAATTTCAAGATATGTGATTTCTATACGAGGCTGTCGAGACATAATAATCGTCAAGTTTATCTCAAAAACAAAGAGACAAAACAATGTATCATCGACAAATGTATCGCGCATTGTATTATGCATTTTCTACTTATATTTGTATCGAAAGTTGAAAAGCATTTTTTCGTATGAATTTGTGATCGTTTTTCTATATATAATATAATAAAACAATATTATACATATGTATTATATTATATATATTAAAATGTATCATATATACATGTGTGTGTACATGTATGAGTATAATATAACATACATATATAGTTCTATATTATATGTTATATATAGGCCTCGTCTCACATTTATTGAACAAATGCGATAATCGCAGACTCGTATGTACATTACATATAACGCCATGAAATAATAAATGTCACAAACATTTTTCAAACTTTGACGTTGTTGCAATTGACATTATCCTATCTTTCGCATTGTTCGCTACTCCAGATTGCGTATTACACAATTCGCGTACACTTTTTGAAAGTTCAATATTTTTCTCTCTTCACGTACAAAGCACAAAATTGAATTATTCGCTCGTTCGTTTCGTTCGTTACGTTCGAACGTGTTTTTCAAAATACATTCGATTTCACAGTCAATACAGAAAGAGAGATCGTTGTTTATCGAGAAAAAACTGAAAACATGTGAACGCCGCTCGTTAGGACTTCTTGTCACGTCAAAGACATTTCATAATATTTTATTACGCAATATCTCGGAGACTATTCTACAGTTCTTACAATGCACCAATATTCAAATATATGTGTGAAAATAATTTACACAGATCGATAGATTTACATAGATTTCAAGAAAAAATCTACTTTGGAATTTTTATCAATATATTGTTCCTGTCTGTGATTTTCTGTTTGAATTTTCCAATTTCTGACAAAGAAAGGCAAAACTTTTATTAGGTGTAGCCTGAACCTTAAGTATCGAAGCGTACAAATCGAGGAAATAGAAAACAAATTATTTAACACAGAAATATGCGAAATATGTTAGCTTTTCTAATTGGTAAAATAACATCGTAAATTATGTTTTGGTCTTGCACGGCTTGTTTACCGTCAATTCATTGTTTTTTTTTCACACCAAGAAGAGAAGGGAAGAACACTTTCTAGCTACCTGCAAGACATAATGATCTTTTTTTTTTTTTTTTCGTTAACGATGTCAAAAATAACGCGCAACGTGTTTTGAAAATTCGTTATGTTAGCAAAAAGAAAAAGGAAGAAATCGTGAACGTTCACGTGCACGCTATCCAGAAGCGTGGTTGCCGCTCGGTACGAGCGGGCGCGATATTGGTATGATACATTGAGACAATGAGGCGTAAATAAGATAATGGCGCGCGCTCGCGTACGTCCAACGGGAGTTTAAACGTCCGAAGGGCCGCGAGGAGGAAAAGAGACCGGTTAGGATCGGCAGATGGGATTGTGACCCGCGCGGCCTGTCCATCGCCAGACGTGCTCAGCATCTTTATACCTCTCCGAGCGGCCAACACATGACGGTTTCCATCTGGTAAAACGCAAATCTCGTTAGGTCCTTCCATCCCCTTTCCGAAATTTTTTCGGCGAAACGAACGTCACACTTACGACACTTAAAAACTTTAGAATAATAATGTCCAACATTTGCACCACGAACAAATAAAAATAATCGCGTAATTTGATAAGCGCATAGATTGCGTGAGATTCGTTAAGAATTTGCACGACGCATTAATTACTTTTGAAATTATTGCCTAGACTGCCTATTCTTTTCATAAACACAAAACAATTTTATTACAATTATATTATCTTCAGAGAAGTTTTTATCGATGGGGAAAAAATCCGACTTGTAGATTAATGCAAATTGATTTTTTTTCTTTTTGCGTCAGCGATGTGATCGTCAATTCTCACAAGTACTTTAACATTGCAAGTGGGACGGTGCAATTGCGTATCAGACCGTCGAATTAAGTTGCAAACAATTGTAATTAGAAACGATAAAGAACGAGTTGTGTCCGAACCAAGGAGAAATCGCGTTGCATAGCATCACGTAGCCCGAAGGGGACGGTAAACACTTGCGTGGTCAATTGCTACAAGTGGCGAGTTGTCTACTGGACACGCATGTTGTTGCTTCTCTACGTGCGAGCATAGGTGTTGGTTGCCGTCGCTATAGGTGTTGGTTTCTACGCGATGCGTTTAGCCGCGAGCGGCACCGCCGCGTCAAACGCCACGGCGACAAACTCTTTCACACACCATCTCGGTTTGTTGATAAAAATTAAATGTGACAATTTTGTGCGCCGCGCACAAACAAAACTTTCTCTTCATGAAATTTTATTAAAACTCTTCGTGTGAAATTTGATTGAAAAAAATTTCAGCGAGATTTAAATTCCGGATCGGTGAAAACATTTCTTTTAAGAGAATAAAATTTCCTTTGTATTTTTTGACTTAAAATATTTCTTTGTTTCATTTAACTTAACAAAGATAAAAGAAGACGTTTTTTTTTTTTTTTACATATATTTTTTCACGCGAAATTTCGCGCACGGAATTACACACGTGCAAAGCGCGTAAAGTTCCTAAGTGACGTTTTAGTAAGTAGTCGGTAACTCGCTGAATTACTTTGCGCTATTACATTATTGTCGATGTCGTCAGCGTTATTCGCGCAAACGCTGCGTACGCAGCGGTCGATGATGTATTACGTATTTTGATGTCTTCGCGACGCGCGAGTTCAATTTTTCAACAAATTTTGCAAATCTGCGACTAGCGTTGTAACATTAAGAAGCATCATAATTCAATTTAAAAAGAATCCTTGTTGATTCCTCATCACCCTCTCTTCGTGTATCCATCATACGTCGAGCAGGAAATCTGGACCACCTCGCAGGCCTACCTACGGTTATTTTGACATCGCCATCTTGCCTATTTACAGAGGGGTTCTAACATCTCTCGATCTCGGCAGCCAGTCGCGACTCTCATTTCTTTTCGTGTACCCTGTGAATGGACTGTGAATGCGTGTGTGCGTGTGTACAACGTGCGCGCATTTGGGGTGGCGTGTCAATAGATTTCGGTGGCGGTGCGTTACATTATTTTCATCGCTTTATATATATCGTGGGGGGTAGATATACGCGGAGCCTGCAGACACC